ATTAAAATTTTTCTTACATAGCATTATATTGGCTGGGCCCCAAAAATATTCGTTGTGGGCTGCATGCGGCCCGTGGGCCGCGAGTTTGACATGCTTGCTCTATGAGAACAAGAAATGTATCTGGCTTCTGTAACACAGTAGGCAATTAGGAAGTATGTGTTGAATGAAAGACTGGATAAAGGAACAAACCTGCTAAGTTGCAAAGCTCTCTGACTATCCTTTTTGTTGTTAATCCTCCCCTGGGGATATCTTTTTCCATTGATTTTTTTTTTTTTTTTTTTAGTGAGAATGGAAGGGAGGGGTAGAGACAGAGAAAGAAACATCGATTGGTTGCCTCTTGCACTCGCCCTGACTAGGGCTGGGGACTGAGCCTGCAACCAAGGTATGTGCACTTGACTGGACTCGAACCCGAGACCCTTCAGTCCACAGTAGCAATACAGCAAGAAATATGGCTTAATGGGAATGAGTTTATTCCCTACTTTACAAGAACAGTTTTTAATAAAATGAGATGCACAGTTGATAATTCTTGGAAGAGAGGAAGCCCAAGAACAGAAGGGGTGTGTGTGGAGGGGGTACTCTAGCCATCTGGGGTCGTTGAGGTACACCCATAAAGCAAGAAGTCGGGTGCTGTAAAGGAGGGGAGAGGGGTCTGGAAGATGAAATTAACTTCTCCGGTCTGTGCTGGGCCCATTTCAAATGCATAAATCTTAACACACATAAGTATCTCTGCATACGTGTAAGTATTTTTATAGAGTGAGGCAATCGTGTGTTCAATTCTCCTACTATTTGGCAGCTTACGGAGTACCTGATTTTTCTATTTGTTTCGCAATGCAGGAGGAATACATCAAGAGCTCAAGTGCAACCCTTCCCTCCGACATTCGCTCGTGCAGATAAACTGTCACCCAGCAAGGAGGGCTTCAGCGACCACTCCAGCCAGTTGCATGGTGAGATGGCTCGGAACTTGCAGAAGAGCATCAAGCACCGCACCCTCTACCTCTTAGAGCAGCTGAAAGTGGAGAAGGCCAGCCGGGACCAGAACACTGTGAGCTACCTCAAGCTGGTGTCCAAAGCCGACCAGAGCCAGGCCCTGCACATCCGCCAGGCCTTCGAGAAGGTGAACCAGCGGGCCTCTGCCACCATCGCCCAGATAGAGCGAAGGCTCCATCAGTGTCGCCAGCAGCTGCAGGAGCTGGAGAAGGGCTGCGAGCCCAAGGGCTCAGTGGCAAAGGAGGAGAGCAGCTCGGACAATGGCTGGCAGCCCTGGGAGAAGGCCCCGTTTTTAGAGGCTCCCAAGCCAGGTGGGAAAGACGGTTTAGCCACCAACCTGTCTGGCAGGCCCTTCCCACTGGACCGTCAATTGTGGGCCTCACAGCAGGCGACGTCATCAGAGTCGCAGGCAAACTTGCTATTGCAGAAGGTGAAGGAAGAGCTCAAAGAAGCTCAGAAAGCCCACCTTGGCCTCCAGGTGTCCTTTCAGGGCCTAAAGGAGATGTATCTCACAGACCTGCAGCTGTCGCTGGAGTGCCTTCAGGAGGAGAAATGCAGGTGAGGTGGAGCCCCTTCGGCCACCTTGGCTCTGGGACAGCACCCAGGATTGTCTGCAGGAGGCTGAAAGGGAGGAGGGGGGTGGAGCAGCTCGGTGGTTCCCTTGGTGCCTGGGCCCCCGCGGTGAAGAGGCCTCATCCCCTGTCCACAGTTGCACACCAGCTTGGCCTTCTGCTGACCAATGAGGCTCCAGCTCTAGGCCCCACAGGGCGGTACTGCAGCTGTGGCTCTAGCTGGAATGGCAGGAGATAGCCGAAGTGGCGGTGAGCCCAGCAGACGCCCATCAGTTAGGGAGGCGCTTTGCCATCCTGTCTGCTGGCATCGTGTGTAGGCAGGACTGGAGTCGCCTCGACAGCCCTGATCCCCTCACTTGTGCTCATGGCTGAGCTCGGGCACAATGTCACGTCCAGGACATTTATTCTGAAAAATGACTGCCTTCTAGGGAATGCCATCTCCCCACTGTGTGGTGGGTTGATTTTCTTTTCTTTTTCTTTTTAAAATATATTTTTACTGATTTCAGAGAGAGGGAGAGCTAGAAACATCAATGATGAGAGAGTAGCATCGACCGGTTGCCTCCTGCATACCTCACACTGGGGATCGAACCTGCAACCCAGGTATATGCCCTGACAGGGAAATCAAACCGTGACCTCCTGGTTCACAGGTCGATGCTTAACCACTGAGCCACACTGGCCGGGCAATACTATTGACATTTTGGACCAGCTGATTCTGTGCTGTGGGTGCTGTGCTATGCATTGGAGGATGTTGAGCAGTGTCCTCACCCTGGAGGAGTTTCCTACAACTGTCATAACCCATTACTCCAAACTCAGTGGCCTCGAACAATAGAAATGTATTTTGTCCCAGTTATGGAGGTCAGGAGTCTGGAATCAGCTTTACTTGGCTGAAGTCAGGGTGTCAGCAGGGCCACGCTCCCTCTGGAGGCTGTAGGTGAGAATCCATTCCTGGCCTCGTCCAGCTTTGGGTGGCTGCCGGGCTCCTTTGCTTGTGGCCACATCACTTCAGTCTTCGAGGCCAGCATCCTTCACATCTCTCTCTGTTCTGTCTTCACAGGGCCTCCTTCACTTGTGTGTACAAGCGCCCTCTCTCTCTCTTATAGGATGTGCGTGATTGCAATTAGGGTCCACATATGCTCAGGAGGAGCTCCTCCACTCGGCCGCCCTACCCCTACTGCTTGAGCCCCTCCTCCCCCATCTGTTTCTCTATCTTAGATTTCTCGTCCAGGCTGCAGGCCACTGGGTGCTAACTCAATTTGCCCAAAAGCCAATCCTTAGGTATAGTTAGAAGTATACTAGTAATATTTTGGTCCTAGCTGGTTTGGCTCAGTGGATAGAGTATCAGCCTGCGGACTGAAGGGTCCCAGGTTCCATTCTGGTTAAGGGCACATGTCCGGATTGTGGGCTCCATCCCCTGTAGGGGACGTGCAAGAGGCAGCTGATCCGTGATTCTCTCTCATCATTGATGTTTCTATCTATCTCTCCCTCTACCTTCCTCTCTGAAATCAATACAAATATATATATTTTTAAAAAGAGTATAAATTTTCACAGCAACAATACTGTTTAGAATCATTTGTATTGGAGAGGGCAGCCTTATCAGCTTTGGAAGGTTTAGGGGGCATTTTGGTTGAATGGTCATCATTCTGTCTTCAAAAGAGCATTTTTCAGAGTGCTCCATTTGCCTCTGTGACCGTAGGAGCTGGATGGAGAGGGGTCCTTGACTAAAAGAGGGACAGTGAGAGGAGGCAGCTGTGTCGAGGCCAGGGCACTGCTGCCAGAGGGTAAGGAGGCTGGGGGCAAGGGAAGGAGAGACTGAGAGAATATCCTTATGAATAAACATCTTATTCACTAAATTATTCAAGAATACATTCAAGAATATATTAATACATTCTTAGAAATACATTAATGAAGAATCTATTCATTGGCTTCATTCATATTCATGGAGAATATATTCATGAAAGTATACTTGAATATAGTTAATATCTTAAATGTTCTTGTGGCTGGATCTTTCATGGTAATGGAAAGATAATCATGGGGTATCTACTTCCAGGGTGGACACCCTGCCTCTCCCCCTCTGTGTGGGCAGTAGCCTCAGCCATGTTGTCAGCCCACTCTCTTCCCAACAGGAAGCAGGGCAGAGACTAATGGAATGTTCCTTGAAACACTGTGATGAATCAGCTCTTGATGAATTGACTTTCAACAAATGAGTGTTCAGCTTATTAGCTCCCTGGGGGACGTCTACGTGTAGGTGTCAGTGAAGTTCTCAAAATAGAACCAAATTACCTCCTTGCTTCACATTCCCTGTCCCTACGACAGCACCATTGGTTATGTTCTTCTGCACATCAGAATCAGGGCCATCAGCCTGGTCCTTCATTGCCATTGACTCCAGTGTTCTGTGGTACCTTTCCTCTACTCCAGTGTCACTGCCCCTGGCTTGGGTCAAGCCTTCCTCGGCTCTTCCCTAAAAGAAATTTCTAGAAGCCACCTGTCCTTCCTGTTGCCCAAATGAGGAACCTCAAAGATTTTTTAAATTATGAAACATTCCAAACCCAGGCAAAATGTAGAGAATAACATGATCGACACTGTATACCTACCCCTGAGCATTCTCAAATTTTCCCATTTAGCATTTTTGCTTCAAATCTTCTCTATATTTTTTTTTAAAAAATATTTTTATTGATTTCAAAGAGGAAGAAATCACCTTCCTTCAAGAGGAAGGTGATTTCTTTCACCTTCCAAAGCTGATAGAAACATCAACAATGGGAGAGAATCATTAATCAGCTGCCTCCTGCACGTCCCACACTGGGGATTGAGCTCACAACCCAGCATGTGCCCTGACCGGGAATTGAACCATGATCTTCTGGTTCATAGGTCAGTGTTCAACCATTGAGTCACACCTGCCTGGCTTGGTTATATTTGTTAATCCACTGAGATATAGTTTACATGCCATAAAATGCAGTTTTAACTACATTTTTATGATGTTTAGTAAATTTACTGAATTGTGCAACCATGACCACAATCCTATACTTGTTATTTGCTTTAATAATCGCTTTATTGAGATATAATTCACATACCATAAAATTCATCCATTTAAAGTGTACAATTCAGTAGTCTTTAGTATGTTCACAGAGTTGTGCAACCATCACCACTATCTCATTACAGACCATAACACTGTCATCACCCCAAAGAGAGACCTCACCCCCATTAGTAGTCACTCCCCACCTTCCCCTTCTCCAGCCCCGGCAACCACTATTCTGTTTTCATTTTTTCCGGATTGGTCTATTCTGTATATTTCATATAAATAGAAGCGCACACTATGTGGTCTTTTGTGGCTGCTCCCTCTCTATAATCCACAGATTTTTATGGAATAACTACTGCATGCCAAACACTGGTGCCGGGAATACATATGGAATTTAATAGCATACGGGGGTAATTTAGATCTTGATTTCTACAACTTCTAGTCTATCTCTATTTTGGTAAAGCTGTTACAAAAGGGGAATGGTATATAGGAGATACATGGCTGTCAGCGTGGGCGTGGCTGAGGCGCAGACCTGGAAGAGTAGGCTGGCTTTGACTGGAGCTGAGGGCCAGAGGAGGAAGGCAGGTCCCGAACCCACGTCTAGTCTTTTATTTATATTTTTAATATGGAACGCTTCATGAATTTGCGTGTCATCCTTGCGCAGGGGCTATGCGAATGTCCTCTGTATCGTTCGAATTGTAGTATATGTGCTGCCGAAGCGAGCACCCAGGTCTAGCCTTGATGTAGGACCACTCGCTGCCAGCACAAGCTCTGGGCGGGGCACTCAGTATTATTTTCTCTTTTGCTCCCAAGACTAACGGTGATGGCAGAACTGATGAATGAGCACCTGCAGCGGCACCTGGATGAAATTTACTGTCTCAAACAGAATCTGGCCTACGCTGAAGAGAAGATGGCCTATCTTTCCTATGAGAAAGCCAAGGAAATATGGGTGAGTTCCTCACGGGGGAGCTTTTTGATAGAAAGCCAGTGAGATGGATGTAGGGATGAGAGAAGCCAAGGATGAGCCAATCTGTCCAGTGACCTCCAAACCAAGGAAGGAGTCAGATATTCAAGCTGGACCCCCATTGAGGGTTCGTTGTTAACTCCCACATTTGTTTTAGAGCTGGCGGTGGCCAATCTTTAATGTTCATGCTGCACTTCCTCTCTCCCCCCACCTTAGCTGATCTGGGAACTTGGGCACTGCAGTTCTCACACTTGAGCCCAGAACCACCTGCAGAGGGAGCTGCTGGGGGTGTAG